TGGCCACGGCCGGTTTCCGCTTGTGCTCTCGAACAAGAAGCGAGCTTCATAGAGTGACCCGAAAGGACTACCTGTAACCCTACCGTTCTTAGGGTTCCTTATTATGGTTGCTACATATAGTTCCTTAAAAAGGTAGGTCTTTTCGGTTACAGGTAGGCGATAGCTTGATGAGGGTTGTATAACTAGGTGGCAATTCGGAAAACTTTAAAAAATTCCCTTATGGTTCCTATTGAGGTATCTATTCGTAAATTTTTTCCAGGGCCCCAAAACTACAATCCAGATAATGTTGTAAATGTTTCTCCTCTTGGCTGCCCAAGACATGTCCTAGGCCCTACACCCTGACCACATCAGCCAAAACGGGAGACTTCAGTGTATGTTTCTCAATATTTTCCAAGCCCCCGTATCACAGAAAAAAAGGATCTCTATTGTACTATGGGGCCCACAAGCACAATCAGCAACGCCTTTTCTTACAGCTCCGCAATACTATGGTATACCTCCCAAAGTCCTGTCGTGATGCTTTATTCCAAAGTAGACCTTCGCCTAAAACCCCCTAAGCCCCTTAAAGGAACCCTTAAATGAGGGACTCCAGTGTACACGCTGAGCCCTAAACCCTAAACCCCTCCAACAGGCTTTCCGGATCTGCGGACACCGGGTGCTTTCAACCCTAAGCCCTAAACTCTAAACCCAGAAGAAGCCTAAACCCAACCTGAACCCTACATCCTAAACCCTAAACCCTAAACCCTAAACCCCTAACCCCTAAACCCTAAACCCAACAGACCCCTAAAACGCGAAACCCCTAGCGAGAGGTGGAGGATTCTCCGCTGCCCTGCGGCCCGGGTTGCAGTGACAAGCTCGAAGAGGCCTCGACGTTTGGAGTAGAGTCGGTGGGGTTAAGGTTCATGGCGTTACCGGCTTTTAAACGAAATTGTCTTTGTATAGAGGAGATGAATTTGTAGGGACGGACTAAAAATCGTGGAGGGCTTGTTTGTGTGGAGATATGAGTAATCGTTATGATGGTAATGCGCCGCAGCCAACGTCAGTAGCACCTGCAGGAGCAGCAATACCAAGATGATGACGGCGGCAGCATTTTCGAGAGAAAGCACAACGTAGTTATTGTTAGTCATCATCATCATCACCACCACCATCATTCATCATCATCACCATCACCATCACCGTCACCATCACCATCACCATCGCCAGCACCACCATCACCATCGCCACCATCACCATCACCATCAACACCATCGTTTGACCCATCGGGCATAGTATCGATGACACCAGTGGAAGATCGCAGCCCCGAGAGGTTTGCGCGATGTCGCAACTGAAAGTGGCTTCCTGGCGGAAGGACGCGGGCGTTGTTATCTGAGCCCTAAACCCACCCCCAAAGCCCTAAACGATCTAGGCCGCCAGACGGAAAAATGGTTTTCAACAAAGAAGCCCAAACCCCAAAATCCGGTACCCTAAACCCTAAATCCTAAGCCCTAAACCCTAAATCCCATACCCTGAGCCCTAAGCCACAAGCCTTAAGCGTCACGAAGGCTCTCAGTTTTCGGGGTTTGGATCCAAAGCAGATCTCTAGCAGCGACTCTAGCATCTAATGAGAGCTCTTATACGTTCTTTCGGCTCACACTTCTTAGGGTTTACCCAAGGGGTTTAGGGTTTAGGGTACAGTGTATTCTCTCGAGTACCAATGTACTATCCTAATCCCAAGTGCCTGCTTATTGGGGCCTTTGGACTCATATGGAAAGGATTGACAGTCGATATTGCTGCCCTAAACCCTAAGCTCTAACCTCACCCGAAACCTGGCCCTGTTCCGCGGAAGCCTGGGTTGCTTTTGAGTGCTCCCCCGCAAAGTCTAGTCACCAAAGGGCTTCCGTTGTCAGGTCCTCATCAACCCTAACCCGCAAACCCAGGAAGTGTTGCTCTGTGCAAGTTTTTTCTGCAAAGACGCAGTGAACACCTCTGTACTGAGACATGATACACCGCTACCATGTGTATTTTCATAAGTGCATGATTCTTGACACGTGCTAGCTGTCATGTGACCCTCCGTGCCACCAGAGTTCCCAAGAAGCAACATCTGTCATGACATGTTCCTTCACTGACATTCTGGGCCCAAGGGGCGTCTACCCTTGCCCGACATTTCGATACTGATACTTCAAACTCAGGCATATACCATAATTCCCATAGTTTAGGGTCCTTACGGTAATGCAGGGATTTATATCATCAACAGTATGACTCGACCCGAAAGCTAGGGTTTTTATCTGTAGGGTTTAGGGTTTAATAGCCTTAAACTCTAGGAAACTCTCTTGAGCAAGGACGCCCTAAACCCTAAACCCTAAACCCTAAACCCTAAACCTTAAACCCCAAACCCTAAACCCTAAACCCTAAACCCTAAACGCCTAAATAACGCCCCCAGCTCTCCCCCAAAAAAGAGAAGCCAGAGGAGCGGAGCTCGGCCATCTCCGTGGTGGCCCAGAAAGGCCTGCAGGCGCCGAAAGAAATCCCGAAGCCCATAAAACCCCGTGAATAGAACGGTTTAGGGTTTAGGGTTTAGGGTTTAGGGAAGCCCATAAAACCCCCTGAATAGAACCCTTACAAACAGCCCTTTAGATCGATCCATCTGGTGTCTAAGGCCTTAAAACCCCTGAATAGAACCCTATAAACAGCTCTTTGGATCGACCCTGAAAATTTTAGGATCTGGGGTCTAAGGCCTTAAAACCCAATAGAACCCTATTAAGGCCCTTTAGATAGACCCTGAAATTTTTATGATGTAGGGTCTAAGGCCTTAAAGCCACAACGTTTAAATAGAACCCTACAAAGCCTAAACCCTAAACCCTACAAAGCCCCTTAAAATAGGCCCTAAACACTAAACCCTAAACCCTACAAAGAGCCCCTTAAAATAGACCCTAGAGGAGCCCTAGAGTCTCTATGGTGTTCGGGATTTCGAACCCTAACCCCAACTCCCCGAAAGCCCGGAGATTTTCACTGGGGCTTTAGACTATTAGGGCTTAGGGCTTTAGACCATTAGGGTTTAGGGCTTTAGATTACTAGGGTGTAGGGTTGTATTTAGGGTTGTAGACTATTGGGGTTTAGGGCTTCAGACTATTAGGGGTTAGGGCTTTAAACTTTAGTAGTAGTAGTAGTGGTAGTAGTGGTAGTAGTGGTAGTAGTGGTAGTAGTAGTAGTAGTAGTAGTAGTAGTAGACGACTATTAGGGTTTAGGGTTTAGTATCGTGTTGGCGGGGGCGGGCTGGGGTGGGGGGCTGTGGGGTGTACAGGCTTTGATAGGGTATGTAGAAGGGCTTTGACAGCTCTTGGAGTCTTCAAGTTGAACTTAGCTTTTCGCTGGAAGTCCAAGCAGCCGTAGCCTTCGTAGTACCTTGTCTTTGATGACTTATTGATGGTCGGGGGTCTGCAAAACGCAGTGAGGTGCTATGGCAGCTTCAGGTAGCCACTGTCCGAAAAGGGATGAAGAGTGTTACACAGGCTGGGTTCTTGTTAGGGGATTTAATTTAAGTTACCATAACAAGGAGACCATATTATCTACTATAGATCCCCATTACTGTAGCTTAAATAAACTCCCTTACCAAGAACCCAGCAGGCTTAAGTAGGGGGATTAGGTTTGGGGGGGCCGAGGCCAGAGCAGAGGAGCTTCCTGGAGATTTGAAAAACACTTCAAGCCGCGGCCCCTCCACATGCAGCCATGTTAGGATAAGGCTTAGGGTTTAGGGTTTACGGCCTGCCGCACCCTGCATATGTATGTATGTATATGTATATATATATATATATTGGAATGACACGAAAAGTAATCGGAAACTCTAGGGGCCCAGTTAATGGCTCCAGAAAGTTCGACCACGCAGGACATCCTCCGGGAGGAAGACGTCCTCTACGATCTGCAGGTGCCAGCTTTAGAGTCTGAGCTTCCGACCCCGAGCGGCAAGACTCCAGAAGTTTTGAGCTGAACGGCTTTCCGGTTCAGGATTCAACCCCAAGCCCTAAGCCCTAAAAACCCTAAATTAAATGACTAAAGCCCCAAACTCCCAAACCCCCTAAACCCTAAACCCTATTGAAAACCCTAAACCCTGAACCCCGTTTCCGGTTGTTGGGTTCTTTGGGCCGAGACTCCCGGGCTTATTTCCAAGTCGACTTAGCGGTTTCGTCCAAGCCCGAAAAAATTGCCGTGACTACCGGTTTAGGGTTTAGGGTTTAGGTTCCGAAAAAGGGTTTAAGGTTTAGGGTTCAGGGGCCTGAAAAGGGTTTAAGGTTTAGGGTTTAGGGTTTAGGGGCCCGAAAACCTACCAGTACCATTTTGGGGGGTTCCTTAAAATAGTAATAGTAGAATATGCCCCAAAGCCCTAGTCTAATTATTAAGGACCCTATATTATGGGGGTCGGAAGAACTCGTTACTAGTGAATCATGTCCCCTTTATGGTCCCTATACAAATATACCATACTGTACCCGTTTAAAAGGGTTTGCTAGGCATTCGAAGTTTTCATGTAGGCCTGGTTTCTTCCGAACGGGGGTGCCCTTAACCCTAAGCCCTAAACCCCTAAACCCTTAACCCTTTAACCCCTAGGCCCTAAACCCCTAAACCCTAAACCCTAAACCCCTAGATCCTGAACCCTTAAGCCCTAAACCCGAAACCTTAGCCCTTTAACCCTAACCCCTAAACCCTTTACCCCCGAGCCCCCTAAACCCTTGGGGTCGTGAGGGTCTTGGCCCTCGGCTCATGTCTCCGAGCTTCATTTCAATGGGTTTAGGGGGCTCAGGGGTAAAGGGTGTAGGGGTTTAGGGTTTAGGATTTAGGGTTTAAGGTTTAGGGGTTTAGGGGTTTAGGGTTTAGGGGTTCGGGGTCGCTGTTCTCGAGACTGTGAGCAGGCACGCGCCTCAAGCATGTGGAATGTTGGCCCTGATTGCACATCACAGCTCCGCAATATATCGATGCCAAGTATGCCGCTAAGTGCTCAGGAGTTTTCTTGTAGGCAAAAACTCACGGACAGGATGCCCGGGCAGCGACACGTGGAAAACAAAGGGCCTGGTCGGTGTTTTGCTCTGGTGCTCTAGCTTTTCGTGTGGCCCGTGCTGCAGAAGGCCGGCGGTATCCACTCATCGGAGTGGCTGTGGCCATGGCCCAGTTCTTCGCTGCCGGGAACCTCGTGGCTCAAAGGACGGCGTCGAAGAAACCTGTCGCTCCAAGCAGGAACGCCTGCGTGCTGACACTCAACGAGGACCCTGCCGAGACCAGGCCAATGCTGACAGAGCCCGAGAAAGAGAGTGAAGGCAGACCTGGCTTCTACGAGTATGAGCTCTCCCTGGGGCTTGGGAAATCCACCGTCCTGCTCTATTACGTGCTGCACAACGGTGCAGCACGTAATAAACCAGACCAGCAGTACGGTGGATTTCCTCTTGGTCCTGATGTCGTGGTGCATGATGAACAAAGGAATCTGGGCGGCTGTGGGTCTCTGGCTGGGCGCCGTCCTCGACGGCAAGCACGGCGACCAGCCAGAGACCCGTGGCCTCCCAGACGATGCCCTTGGCCACGCCATTCAGGCTGCGTGGATTGGCAGGAAGGTGCCAAGCCCCGCGACGTCTATTGCTCTGATTCTGGGACCCCGGGTTGATCTCCTCAAGGACTGCATCTTTACGGCTTCCGTATTGCAGTTGGCCGCCCATGCAGAAGACGAGGGAACTCGACAAAGGGGAGTCTGCAGCCTGGTGACACTGTTCACGCCAGGGCTGTTCCTGTTCTGCGACGGTGCGAGCAGGATGGAGGTTGCCAAGGAGTTCCTTGCCGGGTGTCCGCCTGCAGGCATTTCACAGCCACAATGTTGCTGGTATAGCTTTTGAGCAGCTTCTGCTCGACGGGAATCGTCATGACTGGTGGATGATGGTGGTCAGTGTTCTTGTCTTGGCGGGGGCGGGGGGGGGGGCTGAGGCGGGGGCTGAGTTCATCAAGATCGCGATCATGGCGGCTTCACACGGCCTTGAGGTCCGAAGTGAAGAGGGCCAGGGTCCGACACGTTTGAGGTGCGCTGCCACTGCCTTGCTCGGGGACACGGAGATTCTGGCGACGCTTCTGACATCAGAAGCGTCGCCAGAATCTCCGTGTACGCAACGAACAGTGATGATCGGAGGCCGCTCCACTTCGCCGCACGCAACTGCAAAGCCGAGTGCGTGGACTTCCTCCTCAAGGCCGGTGCCAAGAAGGACGTGCAGGGCACAGACGGCGAAACAGCGCTGGATGTGGCAGAAGGTGAGTTCCTGCCAGTCGCTCCTCGAGAACGTCCAGCGGCTCCACGGGGCCCTCGGGGCTCCCAGGATCAAGTGCGCAAGTGAGGAGAGAAGCTTTTCAAGTCCACAGAGCAGCAGTTGCAACTCTTCGATCCGAAATCCATGGGCCGGAGTTTAGTGCGGCATGCCCATAAAAGGATGCTTGTAGCACCTCGCACCACTGGAAACTCTCATCTTCAACGTCCTTGGACTCCATTTGCTTCAATATTTTCAATGTGGTGCAAGCTCGGGGTTCGGTTCCCAACCAACAACCGGAAACTGGGCTTAGGGCTTAGGGGTCTGAAGGAGTTTAGGGTTTTAGGGCTTTAGGGGTTTTAGGGTTTAGGGTTTGGGGGTTTACTTGGAGGTTCATGGGTAGTTATAAGTGGGGTTATAAGTCCCCTAATATGGGTTGCAAGTGTAGCTACCCTACTTATAACCTCACTTATAACTACCCATGAACCTCCAAGTAGGCTTTTCCGATGTGTTCTTAAGAGTGGCCTCTTTGATGAGGGGTTCTTCAGCAAAGGAATGAAGATTTTTGCAAGCTTCACGACCCTAAA